TGGGCAAGTTTCTTTGCGCCATTTGCCTCTGTCTACGCAGCAGTAATTGTGAACCTGGATGTTAATCGATTTGCGGATCGTATTCCGGGGTAATGGTTAGCCAGTGCAGTTGGTGAGTTGTCCGGTCTTCTCGGACTATTCCTTGACACTGGGTCATGCAACTCGTTAACTTAGGGTGTGGTTGTTGTGTTGGCCATCCTCGTTACACGAGGGTCAACCATCATTATAGTGGTGGTGGTGGTAGTAGTAGTGGTGGTACTAATTGTGGTAGTGGTAATAGTTGTGGTTGTGATGGTGGTAGTATTACTAGTATTACTTGTATTACTAGTTGTGGTACTGATGGTGGTAGTAGTGGTGGCACCACAATGGTTGTGGTAGTGGTGGTGGTAATAGCAGTAGTGGCAACAGTTGTGGTCGTGGTGAATTAAATTTTTAAATATTGTTACAACGGCTAGTTTTATGTGCACCCCATAATCATCCTGTGATCAGTAGCGCGAAAAGTGTTACAAAGTAAAAGTTACAAGGGGTGTGTATAACAGACTCCAGTAGTCAGGATATTATGGCATTGAGTGTTACAGAGTATTACCAACACGTTGTTGGTTTAGTTCTGTACATGGAGGTTGACTTATTCACAGCTGCGTGAGGCGGTGGTGGTGTGATGCCATATGTCTGGTGGTGGTGATGATGGTGGTGGTGGTGGTGGTGATAGCAGTGGTTATAATGATGACTGTGACGGTGAGTGTGAGAGCAGTGGTTATGGTGATGATGGTGGTGGTGGTAATTCAAATATAGTTATGTAGAGAGACGATATAGGTATACAAAGGTAGATACAATATAAATTTCTACAGGTAAATACGTTACATATATACAGGTATATAAACAGAAGACATAGACAGGTTGCTAGACACAATATCTTCCACAACTAGACAAACTATTGATGTACACTGTCGATTTATCATGGTAAATATAATGTAAATTCATAGAGGTAAATAAACAATCAATTTACACTGGTACAGGTAATATACAGAGACAGGTAAAGGCCATTTAGCTGTGAGTATATACAGTAGAAGTAGAGAGAGAGAGAGAGAGAGAGAGAGAGAGAGAGAGAGAGAGAGAGGAAAATCCTTATTATGGTTTTTTTTCTTATTTGCTATATTTATCTCTCTGATTTGTCTCAGATAATCTCTCTCTCTCTCTCTCCTTCCACCTTCTTCCTCCTCTTCCACCACACTCCTTTCCCCTCTCCCTCCCTCCTTCTCTTCCTCACATCTCACCCTCTTTCATCTTCTCCTCCTCCTTCCCCCTTTACCCCTCACCTTCTCCTCCTCCTCCTCCTTTTCCACACACCTCTCCGTCTTCCGCACCCCTTTCCCACCCTTCCTCCCTCCTCCTCTTCAACCCTTCCACCACCCTCCTGTCCCTCCCTCCACTCCACCCTCTCCCTCCCTCTCCCTGATTTGCGGTAGGGCAATTTCTGTAACTCTATTAACTGTCTATTTATACCTCATTAGCCCATTCCCATTCAGTCCAATTAGCCTAATTAGACTTCCTTTCATGATTCACACTGATATTTAACAAGGTATAAGCCGACGTAGTGTACCCTCTCTCATCCCACTCACCCCAACCCTCTCCACCACCCCTTCCACTCCTTTAATTAATTACTATCGTCACCCTACCCCCACCCACCCCACCTCACCACCCCTCCCACCCCCACCTCCCACTCCCCACTCCCCACCTCACCACCCCCTCCCACTCCCCACCTCACCACCCCTCCCCACCTCACCTCCCACCTCACCACCCCACCCTCCCACTCCCACCTCACCACCTCCCACCCCACCTCACCACCCCTCCCACTCCCCACCTCACCACCTCCCACTCCCCACTCACCACCCTCCCACTCCCCACTCACCACCCCCCACTCCCACCTTACCCCCCCACCTTCAATTATTTTGCAATTGCAGGTGAGTTTGACTAATTGCTCCTTCTTCTCCTGTCTGTGTTTGTTTCGTGCTCGTAAGGTTTAATGTCCGTGTAGTTGGTGTGATGGGTTGTTGAGTCATTCATGCTCCCTCCATCCTCACCTTTCCTCCTTCACTTCTCTACCTCCCTCCATCATCACCTTTCCTCCTTCACTTCTCTACCTCCCTCCATCCTCACCTTTCCTCCTTCACTTCTCTACCTCCCTCCATCCTCACCTTTCCTCCTTCACTTCTCTACCTCCCTCCATCCTCACCTTTCCTCCTTCACTTCTCTACCTCCCCCATCCTGCATCCACAGCATCCACTCCATCCTCTTCTCCACCCCCCACCCCCCCCATCTACACTTTAATAACAAAATAATGATAAAAACTAACTTAAAATTCCTATATGTTAACATTTTAAAGAAAGTTGGTGATTGTGTCATTTTGATCTAATTTTAGCGGTGTTACGAGATGTCGGACAGGTGTGTCTCTTCAACACAGGTGTTTAATTAGATGCAAGGTGAGGGCAATGGTTTAGGGCGTGAGTGGTGATGAGTGAGATTATGTAGAAGGTAATAATAATAATAACACAAATAATAATAATAATAATAATAATAATAATAATAATAATAATAATAATAATAATAATAATAACACTAATAATAATAATAATAATAATAATAATAATAATAATAATAATAATAATAATAATAATAATGTCTGCGATTACCTTAAAAATATACAATTAATCACCTGGAAATTATTCATCCTAATTATCAATTATCATTCACACCGGAACTAATTATCATAACGCATAAATTATCATCCAAACAAGAATTGACCCATAAATAATTAACATCCACACTCAAGCTAATTACCATATCTAATTAGTTAACATCTACTCTAGTACTAATTACTATTGTCAATAAATTAGCATATGAATATAGGAACATTAATTGGTTAAGGAACTAATTAAGACGATTAATTTGACTTAGGGATAATAACCCTAATTACAGGTACAATTAGGGGTCATTACGGGCTCGCATTTGTGGTGTAAGGGTGAAGATAGAGTAATTAATACATGGATGGATGGATGGATGGATGGATGGAGTTAGCTGACTATCTGGGAGCAAGGTAGGCGAGTGTACACCAACATACGGTCATCCAACATGGACAATTATTTGCTGAAAGTCGTTCATGTATCACAAATTCCTTTAAGGTGAATGAATTATATAAATTATATGTAAATTATATTAGGATTAACACGAAGATTGTTATTTTAATTGTTAGTAATTGAATAATCAGCTGTTATTCATTATTAGGAAGCATGTTGTGTTGTTCATAATGCTTGTATGTGAGGGGATGATCTTGACCAAAGTTGATTTTAATTAGAAATACGGTAAGCGGGTACTCTATCTCTCTCTCTTTCTTCTTCCTTCATTCCTTCTTTCCATCCCTCGTTTATTCACTCACTTCCTCGTTCCCTCACTTTTTTATTTATCTCCCTCCTTCTCTCTCCTCACGTTCTTCCTTCACTTATCACTCCTTTCCCTCCATTCTTCATCTTACTCCCTCCCTCAATCCTTCCCTTATTGCCTCACTCCCTCACATCGCTAATCTAAACTAACCTAACTCAGCGCTAACATAACATAACATCATAACCTAACCCAGGTATCGCTAGGGTGGTTAATCATCAGGTGAAATAAACTGAGGTGTCTAATCTCCATGTGTTCCAGTCATATTATTATATAAATTAATATATTCTCCTTGAAGAAATTATAACCCGCTGCCCCTGAGTATTGAGAGACTTGGGTATATATCTCCCAGTATATCGTTCAGGCTAAAAATAAATAAAACCCCAACTAATTATATAAAAAGTGTCATACACCTTCAATATATTTAATACAATGCGGCTGTTAAATCATACACAAAATACAATCACACACAAGCTATCATAATATACAAAGTGCTAAACTATATATCCAAACATTCACTACAACACAACAACAACACCATCCATCTTTGTCAAGTCTTATGTAAACTTCACTGCCTTGTGTTGCGTTCTATAGTCTTGTTTTCTTAACTCTGCTGGACACAGTTGTACCACGACCTCTTGTGTTTGACGATGTTTGTGTTATTACGTTACACCGAGATGAAGGTATTAATTAACGCTGACGATATGACGTTTCAGCCAGACAGGAGTTTCATTCTATATTACTGACTTAATCGAAATATATACCTGACCTGAACTGAACTGCAGCCTCTGTTGATCATCCAGGTCTTGATGATTCCTTACAGCCTATCAGATAACTGTGAATCATCTGATCTCCCACGAAACTTTACCGTATATCTGTAACTCATGGTTAGTGATGATCAGGTGTAAGAATTAAACAATCAAGGATTTTTTTTACCTGTTTGTTTGGGAGTTAATTAGAGCGAAACCTGCCGCATAGGGTGTCAGTTGTGGTTGGTTGATGTGTGTGGGGGAGGGAATGGCATCAATAGCGTGACCAATACGGGGTGCTTCGTAATCATCAATCAGGAGGGCAATAAATGATCCACACATGTTCACTTTGGGAAGTAATGAGCTTCTAATAATTTGTCACCTGGCCGGGAGACTCAGGTAGCTGTTGCCGACATTTACTCCCGATTATTATTTCTCTACCATCTCCGTTTGTTATTTAAACCAAGATGGAGTGTCATAGGTGTACGGGAGGCGGCAATTTTCGACTGATGTGATGCAATACTCGTGTGGATTACTGTTTACCTCGGCGTGTTAAATCAAAAGATGGTTAATCTCTCCTTAATGAAGGTAATGAGGACCAAAATGACCAGTGAGGAGCCAAATGTGTTGACGGCCTCCTGACATCACACCGACTCCGCCCCCGACAACCAGCGAGCCCCCTTGGTGGAGGACTCGCGCTTTGGGCGGAGTCAGGATTACAATCCGAGGAGACAATTGGCTGGGGCGAGGCGGTGGGCGGAGTGAGAGGGATTAGTGGGTGGAGTAGAAAGGCGGCCATCACAGTACGCCAGTCAGCGGCGTGAACCGAGGAAGCCAGTCAGTCAGTCGAGCGCGAGCGTAGTGTCAGTACCGTAGTGAGGTAGACCTTGTGGACTGTACGTACCTAACTACTCACACTACCCTCGTTTTGACGTTTGTGAGTGGCTCAAGATGACGGTGGAAGTGTGCACGCGCGTGGGTGTGCGGGTGTCGGCCGCCCCCGGGGCTATCAAGGACGAGTCACAGCCTGGAGGTGGTAACTCCCCCGCCCACGAGACCTCAGAAGCCCCAACACCCAGACCCAAGTTCATGATCACAGACATCCTCGCCCAGCACAAACCTCCTCCTCCACCCATCTCCGTCCATAACGAGGCTATAGCGCCGCCCACGCCCTCGTGCATAGAAGAACCCAAAGATTTGAGCCTCACGAGGGGTCCTCCTCACGCCGAGGACGACGACATAGACCTCGAGGGCGACGCCAGTCACGACGAAGAAGACCCAGATAACAACGACACAGGTGAGTTATAAAGAGGTTTCCGCCCCTTCCCCCAAGGTCCTCCTCCACACGTTTCCTCAGATAAAATTTCAGTTTTGTCAAATATCTCCCTCGGTGTCTGTCTCGACTCAATACAGTGTCTTGTGTATGTCCCTTAAAGTCACGGTATTCCTTGACACATGTCCCACACATATTAAGTTTTCACGACACATTGCCGCCCGAGACAAGTTCCTTGCTTGAAGACATTCTGTATATCCCCCGTCGTCTCTCCCTGTCTGTTGTGTTCTTTCATCTCTGAACACATTTACCCATCTCTTTAATCCACCACCACCGGGATAACTCCTCCTGATCCTCACATGAATAATTACTTCCTTTAGTCTGAGTCACAGTACAGTACATTATATATCCAGCCAGTTGTACTTAATACATCATTGTTACCTTAGTCTGTACAGGTAAGGCCAATACACCTGTATAAGGTTGCATGTAACTTCAACATAAAATATCCATTATTAGTATAAACACGCTGCTATTTTGCCGTAAATGATTATTTTTTTCATAATGAACCCAACGAAAGTTCTCTTAACTACAATCTCAGGATATATTCATGTTAAATTAGTTAACATGGATTAAATTAGATGAGTTCGTAGTGTAAATATATTTTCTAAGACTTTACGACAAATTAACGTGTCGGGTCCTTGTTGATGAGAGTATAAAGTTCACGGTAAAATATCTCCAGGCTCAGGTCTACTGTGTCTCTCCAGCAGGTAAAATAAGGTGAGTTAGTCTTGATGGGCTAATTCTTAAGAGGTTATGCTTGATGTTGTCCGTGTGAGTGTTGGCCATGGCTCATCATTTTTTCCCTGTTATTATAAGAGACATCAGCTGGTAGGATTTATTTTTGTCATTTGTTATTTTTGGTGGTGAAATTCTCTCCTGGTGGTGGAGGTTCACACACGGGCTTCAGGAGGCTACAGGGGTATTCCAAGTAGTGAAATACCCATGAGGGAAGAGGAGACTTTTTGCCTTGTACATGATACTGGTCTGTAATGGTGATTATACACCACAGACGTTGATCATACACGACGGGCGCCACGGACGACGGGAGTGGCCACGGACGACGATCATAAACGACGGACGCCACGGACGACGTTCAGTACGATAAAGTAAATTCTCATGTATAGTTCTGTGTGTACCCGTAAACACGTTCTACACATCTATGTATTAATTGAGGAGATGGTCCAGTGCAGCGGAAGTTACACGGTAGCGGGCAGGTGTGTGCTGCACCTGCAGTACCGCTCTTACGTTCCCTGACGCTGACAATTTAATCTAAAATAAGTATAAAATACAGGTACAGTAATTTACGTATGGCGACTGTAATTATCATGACACCAACACAAACTCTTATTTCTTGGTATAAATTACAGCTACATAAATGTATATCTCGTGACTAACATCGACACAAGTGGTGATTTTTAGTATTAATTCAGATACAATAATTTGTGTATTGCGACTGTATCATCCAAAATATTAGCACAGATTAGGAGTTATAAATTACAAGGCGTTGTAGCCTCCACGCGGTGACTGAAACATGAGGTACTATTGTTGTTGGCTGAATGATTCTTCAGAGATTCACACGATAATATCTTCCTTTGAAAATTACGCTGAGACTGTAGATGTGATAAAGGGCGTTCTCTCATCGCTAGTCACTGATAAATGTTAACTACAGAGCTGGGAAAATCCTGAGAGAGTATTCTTAAGTTGTCTCATGATTTGTGGTGGTCGCCGTAGCTGTGAGAGGTAAATACGACACATCCTCACTGTGTCGGGAAGGTGTCTTGATATTTGAGGAAATTTTTTTAACGTCTGAGAATTGGTACTCGTCTTATGGCTTGGTTACACGGTATATCGGCAGCTGTTTGTATACCACTAGACGCTCGAGCATTACTGTCCAACGTTCATAAAATTCCTAAAATTTTTTGCAAGTGTACAGTACTATATAATATACAATAATATACATACAGGATAAAAAAAAATACATATATACTGTATTTTAATTTCTACCGGTCACAACACCAGCGCGGACAGGACACCAACTAATACAATAATATTAGTTAAGTCATTTAGGACAGGTGAGACGAACATAGGTGCTCCGACACACTTAATAATTCACCTGGATCATTCAACTCATCGTCAAGGGAAAAATAGATTACCAATACTCTGTCTACTTACTTACTTCCACTGCTGTAACGTAAATAACTATCTTGTCACACTCCACTCGGATGATCAACACACACACAGGTAACAACCCAAATTACCTGATAACATCCCCAGGTGACACAACCAGGCGTTTGTATACATCCAGAACCACTCAGTCGCTCGTGTAAAATGTATACTACCATCTGTCACCCCTATTAGTATTTAATATAGTATCCTCCCCCCTCTCCTCTCCCCCCCCTCCTCCTTTATATAATATTGGTGTAGCAGAAATGTATTATGTTCTCGCGTCCGTTCGCTATATACAGCTCACACTAATACCTTATGATGTTTACCTATTATTTGGCATCCTTATTAGAATTAAATATTGAAACACACATAAGGACACACGCACACACATAAGTTTATACTTACATACACACACATATACTTACACCCACACATAAATATTTTCTCGTTTCCGGACTTTTATTGATATATATTTTTTTAATCTATATTTACATGTATATATATATTAATACATATAGATCTAAGAGCCTGTTATAGCTATACGGCGTCTGATCGTTTTAAGTCGGTATTTCGATTATTTTTAGTATTAGTTAATGTTTTATAATTTGGCTCGGTGGGTGGGTGGGGAGGAGGGGGATTAGAACACCTTAAGGGGAAGGCTAGGGTGGGGGGGAGGATGACGTAGGGGTTATGGGGAGGATAGATCTGGTGTTGGAGATAATATGGGAAAGGATGGAAGGGGGAGATGAGGTGGTAGAGGTAATATCGGGAGGAGGTAGAGTTACTATGTGGTAGAGAGAGAGGGGAGGAGGTAGAGGTACTATGGGGAGGGGAGGAGGTCGAGAACACATAGGGGAGGGTGAACATAATTACCAGGTGTGGACAGGTAAAGCTACCCAGCCACTGTGGCAAGTGTCTTTTATTACAAGGAATTATTATTATTTTTTTTTTTGCTCTTCTGTTGCAGCTTCCATATTGCGTGTTGGAGATTGTGTGTATTTATATGTCGGTAGGAGTTGGGTGTATCAATGTCCGCTACACTGTTGAGAGAGAGAGAGAGAGAGAGAGAGAGAGAGAGAGAATTGAGCCGTAACTCAAGATGACATGAATCACTTAATTAAGGTACAGTTTTCTATGGCCTAATCATCGTCGCCCTCCTTCACCCCCCTTTACATCTGACTCTAGCTCTTGTTTTGTGTTCCCGAAATTAACCTTCCAGCAGTCTGTACCGTTTGCAATGTTCCAGGAGTCAGTTTTCCAGTATTCTACCAATTTGTGTCCAGATTCTGCAACTGTGTGAAACCTGCCACGATTTTTTTTTTCAATTTCCTCACTTCAGCACCTCTTCTCGTTTGGAATTCCAAGTATGATTTTATGGAATTATATTGGGTTTAAAGATTAAGGCTCTCTAGTTACTACAACTGCTACTCCTCCTGCAGGCGACGACGACGACGATGGTAACACACACAAGAGCAATTATCCACTGGCCGGCGGCTCCATCAAATATTCGTCATAATGTTGATACTCGACAGCTATACATTTATTTCTCGTGAATAATAAAAGATCGCGTGTTTTGGCTAATTTGTGACGATTGTCGGAGGGCCCGCAAACTAACCCCTCCCCCCCTCTCCCCTGGGCGCCCTCCTCCTCCAACAGACACACACACACACACACACACACACACACACACACGGGCGCAAATCCCTTACCAAAGTGTTATGCTTAAGTATTATTTGCCCCATTATATAATTGTAGTGTATTCCTCTCCTCACCCTGGCCTGAGTTGAGGTTCTTCCCACTATATTATTTACTTCTCTTTATTTTCACATCTTCTTCAGGTCGTTTAGCTGGGACGAACTACTCATGAAACTGCATATTTAAAGTGAATGGATCGTTTGTGTTCATGAATTGTTTACTTTAAAGACGTACGACTCAATGAGATAATTCATCGTTGGGAGAGAGAGAGAGAGAGAGAGAGAGAGAGAGATTTGAATATAATATCTACGCGTATATCACAGAGTACAAACAGGTATGTGTGTTTTAGTTTACTACCCCAGCAATTGTACCTGTCCCTCCCGCCCTCCTTCCTTCCCTCTCACCCCCCTCCATCCCTCTCATCCCCCTCCTTCCCTCAGACGACCTCCCTCTATAAGTAACTACACCAACAACCATCATTATCACGAAAGTTAAGACGCTCAGGCAAATGAGTTGTAAATTAACCCAAGCACCTGTCTTCTGTGATATTTTTTCAGGTAATTACAGGTGTGTTAATTTGTATGTCTGTGTGTGCGTGTGTATTTGCGTTCGTGTGTGTGTGCGTGCGCGCGTGTGTATGTTTGTATGTGTGTGATTAATTTTATATTTTATCCTTTCACCTCAGCTATCATTCTCCCCTCCCTCCCTCACCACCAACACTATCCCTTCGTCCTCTTCACTCACCTTTATTTCACTCCTCTCTTCCTCCCTTCATCACTCCCCGTTCTTCCTCTCCACCCTATAGTACCCTTCACTCCTCCCACCGCCTCCACATCACCTCCTTTACTTATCCTCACTCCCCTCTCACCCCTTCCTCACCACCGTCACCCCTCCTACCCTGCACGCCCTTCACACCACCAAGTACGTGACCCCCCCCCCCGAGAAGTGAGTACAAGCCCTCAGTTGCGGAATATTTCATCACAAGGAGCGTAATTTCCCAGATTACTGACAATCATCGAGTTTGTTGTCCCGAGTAGTGTTGTGCCTCACGAGACCCGCCGGGAGTCCTGAAGACGCTCTTAAAATACGAATATTTTCATCGT